GGGCTTTGAATAAATCATCTAAGCCAAAACCTTTGGTTTTGGTTCTGTTGAGAAGGGAACCGAGGTAACGCCACTTGTGTTCCTCGATCATGTTGAGACGAGGTTGGGCACGGTGGTATGGTCCTATGGACACGATTCGAGGTTGGTAGGCTTTTCCGTTGACCTCGATTAGGCTCTGCGGGACCCTCAAGATGCAGCACGATCTCTTTCCCGCTGATTTACTTAGCAACTTGGGATTCTCCGAAATCTTCAGCTCCATCGACGCCAACCTCTCTCTGTCTATTACCTTCCATATGTCTATTGTGTGGTGATCATTGGCTTCTTCCTCCATATCCATGCTTTTTCTTCCCTCCCCTTTGGATTTTTCAGAATGATTGGCTGTGTTTCAAATGTGTTATTGTCTAGGTTGGACTTAAGAACAACTCATATTCGACAAACTTCCGAAAGCTTACAAAATCATTCAGCCACAAAAAAATGTTTGGTATCTAAAGAAAGTCTCTCAGTCACATCAGCATATGCTGATGACTTACCTATAGGTTTTATTATTATTATAAATCTAACACGTTATGTTATACAAATATTATTTATTAAATTAAGAAATTTTATTATTAAAAAAAATTAAAAGAACATATGGTATTAGAATTGGTAGAACTCAGACAAGTTGCCTTCAAAATATATTAAATTAGATTTATAAGGTTTACAAAATTAGAAATGGAGGAAACTAGGGGGAAGGGAGACTATTGATCACTATCAATGTTTGACGAGAACATTAGATTAGATGGTAAGAAATAAATATGGAATGGACAACGTCTTGTATTAGTAAAACTGTACCTTTCAATGTGGCCACCTTATTCATCAGTAGTTTGTTTTTTTCCACAGCTGTCGCCATATTTGAAGTTTCAATTTGTTTTGTCCAAGTAAAGAAGATATTATATTGGATAATTTTTCTTGGCAGTACCAAGAAATTGATATTTCCTGGAAAAGTAGGGTGTGTCATTTGCTTGGACTTAGACACCATTAGAATATTAATAAAAAAAATTTAATGGTAGTGTACACATATGCCATTAATATGGCATTAAGAAAAACTATATTGATTAAACAAAACCTAAATAAAAATTTCAACGGATTGAATCCCTCTTTCGAAACATGCAAACTATATCGATTAAACAAAACCTAAATAAAAATTTAAATTCAAAAACAGTTTGCATTAAACATTAAGTCTCGTGACTCGTGACGATATGATTCCAAAACAAGATATGGTGACATAAATTTCTCAATGTTTTTTTTATCTCATCCTTAATAGTAGGCTCTTCCAATATTTCTCCTAATATACAACTCATCATTAATAATATATAAATACTAAATTTATAATAACCAAAAGTTTTAATTCAAACTTTAAAAAGAATTATTTACCTTTTTATTTCAATTTAAGTAACTAATTTTGAGTACAAACAAAGACTACATAATATTTAGAAAAAAAATATAATATATATTGAAACACTTTCATACTTTTATTAGTTGACCAAAAATAACATTATTGTAATTTAAATGTTATGTCACATATTAATAATACGACATTGGAAATCTTAATTGATCATCTTATAAAATTTAAGATGATGTTTAAAAAAATATTTGTTCACATTCAAATAAAGTATCCAATTGAGGGCTATTGTCTTATGGAATATCATTATACTCTTTAATCGAATGAACTCATATTATTTAAAAATAAAAATAAAAACCGTATTGTGATTCCTTCAACTTCTTTTTCGGTAAGATAAGGAGAGCTTGAGAATTTCGATATCCTCTTATGCTATTTCTTGGTTAGATATCTTTACTCATGAAAAACAGAATACTTATGTTAAACACTTGAATATTTTTGTCTAACAAGATTATAACGGAGATTAATAATGGTTCGAAGTACAAACACATCACTCTATCACTCCAAAACATGTGTCTCATTCGTAGTTAACATTTCGTATCAACCAACACTCACACGAATGTAAAATACAAATTTCATACTGGATAGAAGGAATTAAACATGAACTTTGAGATCAAATATAAAATAAAAGTAAAGATTCACATTTTTTTAAAATATATATATTTTATGTTGTTGTTATTGATGATTTCTCCTTCAAAATCCTTTATTTTTCAAAACATTTCAAAACCCCTATGCTTTATTAAGAAGTGGTACTTATATAGTTAAAAAACTTGTCATTTGATACTCAATTGAAATAATCAATTTAGATTCAGGAAATTGAAAGTTTGAGAAGCAAACACATCAAATAACATTAAAAATTGAGGTAATGAATGGTTAGGAGGATGATGGTGGACCAGGGCCGATTTAAGGCCCAAACAAGTAAAATCAATTCTTTAGACCTCCAGAAAAAGAGTGTTTCATTTTACACTTCCAAGATCCCATCTTGCACTTACAAAAATTTCACTTTTAACCTTCTCACATCTCATCCTTCATCTCCAACTTTTTCAAAACTTTCATTTTTAACTTAAACAAATATTTTTTCATTTTTTTTCATTTTTATTAAAAACAATATTCACCAGCTTTATAATAATTTAATTTAATTTAAAATTTAAATATTATTTAAAATAATTTTATATTTTAATAATTATTAAAATAAAATTTATATTATAATAATAGTTATATTAAAAACATAAAAATAAAATAATAATAATAATAATAAATTTGATTTAATATATTCAAATATATTAAATTATAATAGAATATTAAAATAAATTAAATAGTTATTAAATTTTAAATAAAAATGAAAATTTTAAAAAAATTATCTATATATTAAAATCTGTAAAATATGTTAATACTTTTGCTTTTTATTTAAAATTTAATAAATATTAAACTTAAATAAAAATTATAATATTACTTATTATATTTTTATATTTTAATAATTAATAAAATATGATTTATATTTTTAAAATAGTACTATTAAGAAAATTAAAAAATAATAACTAAAATAAGAATAAAAATGAAAATAAAAATAATACTTAAAATCATATTTAATATATTTAAATATATTAAATTATATTAAAATATTAAATTAAATTTAATAATTATTAAAAAATTTTAAAAATTTGTTAATCGGATACCGATAAGTTATGAATCGGATATCCATATCCGAATGGTTTTCAAAATTTTATTTTATATATAAAATTTAATAATTCTTTAATTTAATTTAATATTCTAATATAATTTAGTATATTTAAATATTTTATTTAATATAATTTTATTTTTTATTTGATAAATAATTGTTTTAAATTTTTATTTTTTATTTACATTTTAATAATTATTTAATTTAATTTAATATATTAAATATTTTATTTAATATAATTTTATTTTTATTTTTATTATTTTCATTTTAATTATTTTATAACTATTATTATAACATTAATCATATTTTAATAATTATTAAAATATAAAATTATATTAAATAATATTTGAATTTTAAATTTAATTATTATTAAGGTGGTGTAGAGTCTTTTTAACAAGAAAAAAAGAAAATAAAATATATTTATTAAAATTAAAAATAAAATTTTTTATAAAGTTAGAAGTGTAGAATAATGATGAGATTTCAGAAGGTTAAAACTAGAATTTTTGAAGGTGCAGGATGAGATCTTGGAGGTGTAGGATGAAACTATTCTAGAAAAAAAGTTTTAAAAAAATAATATTAATTACTTTAGGCCTCCAAGATAAAAAAGATCTTAAAAAGTTTAGAAAATAAATTTGAAATGAAATTATAATAAAAAACACTTCATTCTTAAGTTTGTTTGGCCTTCCAAACTCTTGAGTTGTTCTTGTGGTCGGTGTGGATCAATGCGAATATGGGATGAATGATGGAAGAAAAAATGGAGTTAAATGAATGACTCAATACTGAAAATGGTAAGATGAGTACTAAAATGTAATCATGGCTGATAAAGAACATAAAATAATTGGGATTCCAATACTCGTCTTTTTTAATTTTCAATTAAATTTATAAGATTAATTTTTGCCATGTGGACAACAAGTGTGAAGCAACGAGCCAATAGGTCATATATCGCAATAAAACGTTATTTTTCACATTAGATAAAATTTAACGCTGTTGATGCTAAAGAAAGATTCAAAATCGTTTATATGCGTGACTTATCCTATTAAAAATTTAATCAATTCCCTAAAAAAATTGAAAAAAAAATGTATTTCCCTTTAGTAAAAAGAACCTAAATTTTTTATTCAGTGTTTCAAAATATAGAATTTTAAACATAATAATAATAATGACTAATGATAAAAAAAAATCTAAGATCTTCCAAGTGAAATACGATCCAGTAGTGGATTTATTTTAAAGCTAAGATGGGACATAATCCTTTTTTCTCGTGGCGCAGTATACGTGCCTCACATGTGGTGTCAAAGGAAGGCTATAGATGGAACTGTTTGGGTAAAACTCTAGGTGATGGCAAGAACAACTTACAGACTGTTCGTAGAGTTCTCAAGTGTTACAGTGATTCCTTTGATGAGGAAGAGGGAAAAGATGTATTGAATACATCGTTGTATAAAGAGTCCAGTTTTGGGAGTGTCTCTTTAAAGAGGGCTATATAACCTTCATGGAAAGTGTTGTTGACAAAACTCATCTGCTAATTGGAGGATTATATTGAATATGAGTGTAAGGTGAAAGTGTTTGTGTGGCCGAATGGACCTAAGGGACAAAGGTATTGAGTGCCTCTGCTATATGTCTTGTATGCTGGCCTTGAAATTGAATATCATCTATTCTTCTGCTGCACAAAGAGCCAAGAATGCTGCAGAAAAGTTACTATGCAAGATTGTATTATCAAACCTATTGATGAACAATAATACATGAAAGATATTGCATTTCTAGTGTTGAAGCCGGGGACCCAAAGAACCATAGTTTATGTTTAATTGGGTTATCCTTTATTGATCGTAGTGGCTAATGCTGGTTAGCACAACTACTGTATATATAATTTAGCCATGTTATGTATTTTTTTTAAATCACTGTAGATACATTAAAATATTTCTTTTGAAAAAGAAAATCGTTTTCGTTTAAATTGTTCATGACTATTGACATTATGACGATGACGTGTTTGACCAACAGTGTTCGAATTGAAAAAGTGGCGTTCCCTAGGATAAACACTAATTTGAAGGTTCCAAATGATGGTGATCGATGAGTGGCAGCAGAAAAGCATAAGCAGAGATGCCACCTGGAGTGATTAGAAAAAAAGGAAAAGGCAGAAAGCAAGATGCAAATTAGACAAGTTGTTTATCCATTAAATAATAAAAGGAACCTTGGAAAAGAAAACAACATGAGATTAAACTGATAAGTCGCTGTCAAATTCCTCCTTCCTAGACAAAGATCACCGAATTATAATATTCCATCCCCTGCACATAACTCACCCTCACTGCTCCCAACTCAAATATTCCTTCCCCAAACATACAAACAAATTTTCGTGACATGTTTTGTTCCGGTGAAAACAAAAGGAAACTCCCTATCAAGTCTCATTTATCATCTAAAACCGCATTAGGTTTATCCCTTCTTCATTGAACTAAAACACCAAAAACAAAGTGTCATTGTAAGAGACTATATTATTAAATTAAGAAAGGTGACTTACAGCATCCCCACAACCAGCTACGAACATGAGTCATGTACATATATACCCTGATTATCTTTATGGGTTACTTTTTTTTTTCTTCCTTTTCAATTACTAGCCTATCATACCCAATACATGCAAGTCAGACTGTACTCTAAAGAATAAAGATAAATCATTCATACTAAGTTTTCCCCCCAATTAGCATACTAGTTCCTCTGAAAATTCCTCCAGCAGAAAGCCGAAGATAGCACACTCAAGCTCCCCAGCCATATTTCTTATCTGCTCCACATTTTTCTTCCACCCACCATCCTCCCTAGAGAAGTCATCTTCTATCATCATATCAATTGTATTCGACTCCACTTCTTTCCACAACTCCAACCTCTTGCATATCCTTGTTATCACCATATCCCTGTCTTCCAACTCATCGAGTGCTCTCTCTTCTTCCATTATCAGATCAGATACCAGCTTCTTAAACTCATCTGGGATTTGCTGTCTGTCATACACCCTTGACTGCCACAGACCTTTCAAAATCACCTCTCTACTGGCATTTTCTTTACGTAATGTTTCCTTCATAAATGATTCATCCTCCTCCTCGTCTTCTTCATCGTGCATTCTTCTCTCAAGTTCTACCGGATCCAACTCTGCCAGTTTCTCAAATCTACGAAGCTTGTACAATAACTGCTGCTTGGCTCCTGCAAAATTCAATGCTATTATTAGCGGCAAATCTTGAATTAATGAAAGAAAAAGTGTAAGATTATATGTGTGTCTAGCATTATTGGTATGGAAGAAGGTAGGATTTTGATTGCTCATATGTTATCCAACAAATTGAATGCAATGGTGGGAATTAAGACGTATCTCCTAACAAGAAAAATAGTGGGTCACATTAAAATTTATAACCAATGGCCTTGTATCTAGATGTAAAGGATCCACAATAAATGGGAAATGCCGTTTGGATGTAGAGCAACTGTGATCTTTCGGATGGAACCCACAAGGATAGCACGGTTAAAGATCAGCACAATCACATCACTACATCAGCAATTAGCCCCTCCTCTTATTGTATTTTGTGACAGACAAGCAACTTTGAAGAAGTGTGTACGATGGTGCGTTGGTGGAAAACGACCACACAACAACAAACACAGAATGGTACAAAAATAAATAAGCAGTGACATACTCTGTACAATCGCATAGCTGCACTCCGAATCAAAACCACCCTCCTCTCCTTCATCACCGTTCCCATGCCCTTCGTCATCGTCCTCGAACGGTGGGTCTAACACACACACTGGACTGCACTGTTCTTTGTCTTCCTCCTCTTCTTCCCCTGATTCGAACTTCTTCACACTCTCGCCTTCGTTACTTTCTTTCTCCTATTAATATCCACATAAAAATCCATTAGAATATTAACTCATTTTTCGATAATGGGTTGTTTAGTAAATCACTGTTCGACTGATTTATCTCCCTTTGAAAGAGTCATTTACCAACAAGCAGTACTGGAAGTAGTGGAAAACAGAATTTGTCACTCTTTAAGAAGCAATTTACCAAACAACCCACTGGAAGAGAGAGAAAAGATTTGCATGGCAGAAACACGATCGAAAAGTACAATTATGAGAAAAATCAGAAAAACAAAACAAAAACACGAAATTGACATATGTAACCCTCCACAGTGCTCACAGGGCTGTTCTTTAACAGATTTCGGAAAGACTGAGGGCTATGATTGTCACCGAAAAGCGACATTCCGGCCAAACTCACAGACCCACGTTCCATTACCGACAAAATCAGAACACCACTCAACTAACGAGTCCTGTTTTTTTCCTCGTAACTCACTCGCCACAGACCAAAACCAGGTTCAATATAAAACTAAAACAAAAAATTACCATAAAATATTAATATAATAAGAATAAGAAGAAGAAAGACAAACCTCAGTCGCGTGGCGACTTGGCGAGGTAAGCTCCGGCGTGTGGCGGCCGTCGGAGGGAGAACTAGTTTGAAGAACAAAACGGAACGGACTTTCGCAGAAGCAGGTGGAGTTTGTGTAATTGGTTATGAAGTGAATCTCGTCGGAGTAGCCGCTACTAGACGTTTCCATGTTGAGGGATTTATCCGCGTTGGTCTCTGACCAAACAGCACTACTAGTTCTACCATTGTAAGAACACACAAACCCCACTTCACACGCATTCGCATTCACATTCACAGTTTCTTCATCCTCTTTCTTGTTGGAACCTTTTTTTCGCCCAACAGAGGAATCCCACTTCAGAATGTCCTTAACCGAAACCTTGACGCTTCCAGCACCCTCTATCTCGCGCTTCTTCTGGCCCCGTTGCGTGAGTCTCTTGTAGAGGGAACCGAAGAGACCGAAGGATTGGGCTTTAATTTTGGGCCGTGAAGCGGGTGAGGAGTGTTTCTGGATCCTGACAGCGGCTTCCAGAAGCAGAGACGCGGTTCGGGAAGGGATGTGAAGGAAGATAGCGTTGGGGGATTTGCAAGGGCTTTTTGCTGCGGAAGCGAATTCGAAGAGTGGAGATTTTCTGAAATCTGGGGTGTCTGTGAGGGAAAAAAGACAAGCACTTTTGCAGAAATTCCCCGGGAAGCTTGGGGTTGGATTGGTTGATTTGTGTTTCTTGACTTGCAAAGAGGTATTGGAGGAAGGCCGTTTCATCTGGCTTCGCCTATCGGAAATGTACTTGTTTAGAAGAAAGGGCTCTTGATCCTCCTGAAGTAGCTCGTGCAACAAGTACTTCTGAACCATAAGGGAAATGCTATAATGAAGAACCAAACAAATTAAGAAAAGTGAAGCCTGAACTGTGTTCACACAAGAGAAGGGAGTGATGGCGCAAAAGAGAAAAACGAAAGGAAATAAAAATAAAACAAAAATGGTGTCCCCCAGAGTAAGAGAGTGAGAATGAGGAGACTTTGTTCTTGATTCAAACGAAGATGGGTTATAGGATCGAGGCGAGAGAGAGTGATGAAACTGGTTTGGTCATAGACCAATTATTCTTAAATAATGGGATTTTATTTTCCACTCACAGCGATTTGCGCCGAAAGCACACTTGGCACAAACCATGTCAAAAACCAAACTCTTTTTCCTTCTGTCAATTAAACCCGTCTGGTCATTTTCTATTTCCACTAACTTCAACTTTAATTTAAATTTCAAAAAGCATGCCCCAGTGGTAAAATTCTCCAAACTTTGAGAATTCTCTACTGTACCACACTTCTATATCTATGTTTTGCACTGTTAAAACAAAAAAATACACAGGGGTTGTCTCGCCTAGGGAGGGGTGACGCGTGACCCACTCCATTTTACGGTCTCAGAATTTTCGCTCACTTTTTGTATAAAGTCTTTCGCCTTCCAACTTTCAAACTCCAGTCTCATTTTTTTGTGTGTAAAGTGCGTTTCTGGGTCACTATAGATTTTTGGCTTCATTTTTCACGTACGTCTCTCACCCCCACGCTTCCACAAAATCCAAACCAAGTCAATTTTACACTTCTCCCAAAAACCCATATGCCTGAATCAAATACCGTCTCTATCTCTATGTAACTATGTGTTCATCTCATAATATCTATCATATACATTTCTTCTTCTCAACATACAAAATACGATATCAGGTTAAAGACAAGAAGGAGGGAAACAAATGCCACGCCTTTCAGACCATTCAAAATCCAAATACTACAAACAGATATGACCTCTTTTTTTAACACATCTCATGCCTATTTACTCTAAAAAAGGTTGTAACTAGCTAAACAACTCGACGGGTTTAATTGGGTTAGATTTAAAAAAAAATTAATTTTTTATATAGGTTACCTTTCAATCTCACTCACTTAGAATATGATTCAACTTTGATGAGTCATGACTCGCAAACCCACCTAATTTAATTTAATTATTTATTATTTTATGTGTTAATATTATTAGTTAGCATTTTTTTATTATATGAAATAAAAAAATGTTTCAAGAAATAAAAATATTATAAATTTATTTATTCAAGACTTTAACATTATAGACAGACAAGTGCTACAAAAATTATCAATATTAAAAACTTATTTATTCGTCTTTTTTTTTTAAGTTTAACATCATTTTAGAGTGAAATTTATTTAGATTTGAATTAAAAAAAATTATAATTTTTTATTTTAAAAAGAACTTATAATTAAGTGAGCCAATGAGTCAACCTATTTAACCCACCAACCCGTAGTGAGTTGGGTCTGGTTCGAATTTTTTTAGCTTGCTAATAAGTGAGTCGGGTTGGGTTGACTCACTAAGTGACCAACCTGTGATGGACCGGATTAAGTCGAACCGAATTACCCATTGATAGCTCTACAATTTACCGATGCTTAATTGCCATTAGTTTTAAACATACCCACTTCTATAAAATTAATCAACCTTTTTCCTTTTGTTAGTGATGTATAACATTTTTAATAGAGTATGCTAAAAGTCAACAAATTTATTACATATATGGATATATAGACAGTTTATGATTTGGATGACTATGGGTGCATAGTTTTTTTTTTGGAAAAAAATAATTGAATTCAAAACTTGTATATATAATACCCTTTGTTCCATTTACTAAATGTAGTTATAACACCATGCATGAAAAGCTATAGTCTCCTATGTTGTTTGTACAGTACGAGGAGGCTTGATTTCCTCGTAAATAAATTGTTTTTGTTGTTGAAAATTTTTAATCTCAATACAAATAGAACGTGCACTGAACAACGTGGCTTATAAACATGTAGTAAAACGAGTAACTTTACAGCGAAAGATACAAGAGCATAGATTAAGAAAGTAATAACAAATGTTGTGCACGCTCATTTTTCGCTCGAGGCTTCAAAATACTCAGAAGACAGAAGAAGCCACAAACCAAAATAAAGGTATCAAATTACGAAGTTCGAGTTCATCACTGCAGTGAAAATCTTCCCACAATAAGCTGTTATTTTTTTATTTCACACTAACTTCCATTTGTCGGGCATAACCCAATTTTAAAAATCCATCCACGCAACATGCATAATTACATTTGACATTCATTAATTAACTAATTTTCTCTCTGCACGTTTCGTTATCGTCTCACCTAATGTTGAGCCAAAATGAAATAAGAAAAAAAAATGTTATTAGAAGAGATATGTATTAAGGGTTAGGGTAAGCCATATCTTTTAGTTTGATTATTTGTTTATTTTATGTTATTTCATCTCACAGCTAATAAAAAGTTAATTAAGTTTCTCGCCACTTTCTACTTAGTTAGTATTGTAAAAGCATTAAAAAGAAATATTAACTGTTTTAAAAATTTAGGAACTTGAATAAACATGAGAAAGTCACGTTGTTATATTTTTAAAATTTAAAATTGTGATAAAACATTCTATTAATAGAGAAAGAATTGAATAAAATAAATAAATAATATGATAAAACAAGGTAAACCTGTTTTCCACGAAAATTAATTATCGGTCAAATTAGTAGGTATTAAAAATCTCGATTGCACTAGCAAATAATTTTCTGGGAGGCGCAATAAGGGTGCTCTTAAATACTTATGAAATGGGTGGGAAGGAGATAAGATAATCAATAATAGATTGTATTACAACAAGGAATCTTAGAAACCCAAATTCATGTACATTAGCCACCTCTCTTGGTAGTCACTAAAAGTTTTTATTATATAATGATATATAAACACTTAAACAAATGTGTACTTTTTATCTGATGAAATATCATATAAAAGACAATACTTGACATCAATAACATAATTATAAAAAATTCATAACAAAAGGGTCATTGTGAGAATCTTCGATCTGTCTATCTCTGTTGTTGAAACATGATTTGCTAATTAGAGGGTAATTAATGTAATCCATCCACCTGTAAACGCATGTCAAAGTAGTTTAACACTTATATGAAAATAATCATTATCGTTTGTCTTTTTTTTATTTCAATTTTCATTTCTTGGTTTTTCTTTAATCCGGAGTAAGGGGAGGAATCCGCTTTCTCTTCCTTCATTCCGTAGCTTTCGTGCTGGAAAGTGGATTAAGATTGAATTTAGAAATATGGTGATCATGATTACTATACTTGCAACAATCGACTTCATGATCTCCTAAACAAATTGTTAGGAAAATAATAACAATGCACTCAAGAACAAGTGAACAAGTGTTCATGTAAAGTTTATAAGACATAGAATATAGCTACTCCCGGTTGTTCTACAGAGGAGATCGATCGAAGAAACACAATACCAATAAAATTGGAGTTCAACCACGTAAGGAATTGATATAACTTTCTGCTTAAAATCTTGAGATAATGGGTTAACGAGTCTTTCATCTTTATATAGTATTCTATTTTTTCATTTTTATCCAATATACTTTGATTCACACTTGGATTCACAACGAAGTGATTCACAACGAGGTAAAGGCACCATAATGATGTTATTATATATATAATGCTGAACCATGTACAAGAAAAGCCACTAACCTGGAAGGTAAGGAAGGATATATAAATGGTGCAAAAGTCGATCGTAATACGTGTTAACATTGATGGAGGAGATGATGGATGGTGATAATCTTGGATATTTTTTGTTACATGCATCAGAAGCATAGATCCCAGGTAGGTGAAAAAGAAGATGCAAATTGAATGAACATGTAGAAGTTATAATGGAGAATAAATCTCGCTCTGAAAGTTTATGTTGAAGATTCGTTCCTTTTTCATAGAGAGTTGTGATGGGATAACCCAACATGGAGAGATAAGGGTGGACCTCAACAGTGTTTGAGTGTTTCTTCACTGCTACATGTGTAGAAAGTTAATAGTGTCACTTGGCATACTAACTTTTATTGCCTTTTATGTAAATGACTGAAAAAATGGAGATAAGGTTGGAGATAGATTTGGACCAACACGACTTTCTCATAGCCTTATGTTTCCTGTCAACTTTTTAAATATAAACATGGGGAACAGTATGTAAAAATCATTGAAAAATTATAACTGTTTGTTTTTCTCATGTGTTACTCTATTTATTTATTTTCACTATACGAGAAAATTTACATTTAAATGTATTTCAACGTAATTTTTGTCACAACTATGTAACATTTTATTTTTCATCCTGTAATTTATTTATTTTGTTTTAAGTTTAGTTTTTTCCTTTTTGTTTTTACCTTAGTAATTAATGTTTTTAACATTGTGAAAAAGTAATCAATGTTATAGGAAATCCTAATTTCATTGTTTCACTGTGTTGTTTATTTTTGTCTTATCTTATTTTATTGTGTCATCTATTATAGGTAATAGATTCTTATACTACCGAAAAAATATCATAACTTCATTATGTATGGATTTTGATGTTTAAAGTTTGATATGATTTTTAATATGTGAAAGGTATATATTATTATCTTGGTTTGATTTTTTCTAATTAATGTTCTAATGATGTTTTTTATTCGAGATATGACATGATAATCACATGTTCATGAATATGGCTACTTGTTAACACTAAACCTAAAAAAGAAAATTATATATCAAGATCATAAATTAATATGCGAAAATTAACAACTTTAAGATAGATGAGTTTCAACCTTTAAATATAGTACTTGAATTTATTATTGTTTTGGTTGAATTGGTCTGAGGGTCGGTCGTCCTTCCTTGCTCTGCTCTCTTTTGATCTTCAATCTTCTCCAAGAACGCGATTTGACCTGTACAAGACACCCCGACGCTCAAGTCAGATATGTTTCATAAAGAGATCTATATTTTATTAGGATAGAAAAATGTGACTGTACCATGGACATCAGTTGTCTACTTATAAGGCTTGTGACAGTCACCTCCATTTGATTAACCATTAGTGCAATATATTTTAGGTAATAAAACCCAATAATTAATCATTAATGTTGTATATTTGTAGAGAGTAAGGCAATCTGACCTATTAGTACCTGCTTAATGACAATCAATTCTGATCGGTATACTTCATATAGTACAATTATGTTATGAATTTATCCACAATTCTAAATTAAATTGAAAATATAGCATTATATTAATATAAT